ATCGCGTACTCTACGGTCCCTATACCTACATAAGACTCCCGTACGTGCCCCAATATCAACCTAATCTAGCTACAGAACAGGCATGACAAATATCCATCTCGATCCAAATAAGAAAAAAATAGAATGGCCGAGCCTCAGGCTGGTTGGCGCAGTTTGAGCGGTATGACCGGGGGGCCCGATGACCATTGCAATACGCCACGGGAAGTATGATTGGTTCGGGTTGAAGTATCCGGTGCGCCCGGAGTGGGTTTTCTAGCGATCTTGTATTGCATCGAGTTAGCGCAGTAATTACATTACGATACAAACATTAGAAGTAGTAACTAGCCTGAGGCATGAATCAGCCATTGGTTCCGTTACGGTCACGTGGAAGCTTATCGGACCAGTTAAAACATGCCAAGGCTGGCGACATTTGGCACACAGACCAATGGAATCTCGATCTCGGTAAGGGTGGAGCAACCACAGGAGGGAAAAGAGATCCACCGAGTTGCAGATCATTGTCGGCTGATGTAGCACGAGAACTGATCGATCGCTGCCATTCTCCACTTTGACGTGAGCATCATTTGTACCACTAGGACTACAGCACTAGGCGAGTACTACTACCAGTACTATACAGGAGTCAGACTCGACAAGGATAATATGCAATGCAACATCATCGAATTTCGGGCGCCTGGCGCCTATGGCATATGCTCTCTCCCGTGTCTGGCTTTGCCTAATCCGGAAGCTGACATGTATTCCTAGCAAAGGATGAGACGAGACCTGCAGTAAAGCAATCCTCGACAGGGCCCCAATATGGATGTCATGAAAAAGGCTACGCAGGAACGCTGATTACTTCTTTGTCTTGAGGCCAGTTCTACAGACAGGGTGGGAAAAAAAAAAAAAAAAAAAAAAAAAGGAGAAGATGAATAAAGAAGGTGATACAACACCATGTGCTTGGTTCTGCTGCAACGGTTCTTGGATTATCTTATCACCTTGCAGAAGGAGTATAACTATTATAACATAAATGGTAAATATTCTCCAATCTCCTCCACACAAAGCTGTCTGATACACTCCACACGTATCCACCTGCTTTATAGGGCATATATTGAAATGGACTTTCATGAACGCACAAGCCATGTTCGTTTTCTTTCTTTAACACTGACCCATGGACAGACGATTTCCGACAGGGATCCATTCCTTCCATTTCCTCTTCGCTTTCCTCCTAATCCCGCAGAAAGCGAGTTCGATAATCCTTCTAGAAGAACCCTCGAGCCCTCTGCCAAGCGTTTTACTTATCCTAATCCGGGTGTGAATGACCATCCACCTTCCTAAAATAGGAGTGGTTGGGTTCTGCCACGAGGCTGGCTTTATTCCCAGACCCCAGTCCCCAGTCTTACAATGCAGTCTTCACCTTAAATTTTCTCACCTTTTTCCTTTCAGTCTTTTTGCAGAGAGACGGTCAACAGTTGCCTTCTTGGTTAGTCTTTTGTTCGGCTCAAAGAACCTCTACACATTCCCTTTTGGAACGTTGCTTGTCCTACCGTGTTTCATCTAAGAATAATAACAGTCTGTGTGTGGCAAGACTAAGAATATACCCTCTTGTGTTCATGCTGGCGTACTCCATGTGTTTCATCTATTTTTCGCACGTGGTGCCCTGGTTGCACATCAGGACCTGATCCTCGAACTCGAACAGAAGGAACTCCCAGGGCAACAGTCTCCCCTACAGTATCACAGCGTCCTGCGAGCATGAGGCATTTCTACCACACTGACGTATCTACTAACTCCAGGCTTGAAACGCCACAGCTTTCTCTGCAAGGATTGAAACTTTGCTAACAGTCACTAAGGCTTCCAAAATCACACTCACACGCGTTAGTCGCCTATTGCCTTGTCTATTTATCGGTGATCGGCTGGTCGCACGAATGACTCGATGGCTGTCGAGTGTTGAAACGGTGTGGTGAGGTCGTATCAGAAAACGTCCTAATTTGGACAATCACTGTCAGCAGTGTCGATCAATTAGCCGACCTTTCTACAAAAATCAATGAAACTTAATTGAAGCCCATCACGACATGAATTGGGACTTTTGCTTGGTATCGGTCAGTCAGTCAGGTACCAGAGCTAAGTAGTTGGGTCCTCGTGTTGGCCTGGGATCACCACAACGTGGTATTGCAGGTACGTACATAACAAGTGCAATGGTCCATACCCGATGCGGAAAAGTCGACATCGGGGTTCGGGATTCGTATAAAAAAAAAAAAAAAAAAAAAAAAAAAAAAAAAAAAAAAAAAAGAAAAAACAAAAAAAAAAAAAAAAAAAAAAAAAAAAAAAAACAGATCCCGTGTTGGGGAGTTGACATCCCCGGAGGCGCGCAGACGCAGACGCCATGATCTCTTGTCAAAAAGCGGACCAACGAACGGTTTGATAGGAACAGACCACCTCCTACCAGTGATCACCTCATTTCGTTTTTCGTGATTGGACAATATAAACTTTCCCTATTCTGTCATGGTTGCCGTTGCCGCAGCTGACTGAATTACGCCGGCCGGAAAAGATAACTAGCTCGTCTGCTAGTTGGCTGTTATGTAATTCCCGAAAGTCATTTTCGATTCGGGGACAAACAGCTGTCAGTACTTTTACTTTCGCTTGTTAGTGTCAGTGCTGGCTGGCTGGCTAAGGGTAGGGTCTGGAGAGGGTCGTCCCGCGTGGGTCTGCCTTGTGTCTGTGTGTGTCTGCGTAAGTATGATATATCGTAGTATCTGTATGGAGTACTCTGTACTCTAGGTACAGTGTGTGGAGTGACAATAGCAAACGCGACAAGCCAACCAGTTTCTCTCTCTCTCTCTTTTTTTTTTTTTTTTTTTTTTTCCGGGATGCCCAGTCGGGACAGCTTTGTGTTCATCGTTATTTACTAGGGGTAAAGTAGGGCACGGCATACTTACCACAACTGTGCTGATTATTAATGAGTAAGTTCATAAGAGTTCATAAGATATTACTATCGAGATATCGTCAACGTTCCCCGGGACAGAAAAATTAGAGTGTCCATAGAGCACGGGGTAGCCGATAGCCAAAATATCATGACAGATATCCAAAATTAAAAATTAGACACAACATATCGACATATCTACAACCAGCGCAGAGAGACATGAGTCAATCAGCATAACCACTCATACTGCAACAATCGGGTACTTATGACTTATGAATACGACCTGCTAACCAATTGGAAAGAGCCGTCCGCGCATACCATAACCGAATTGACATTTTAAGCTCTACTCCGTAGTTAGTTTGTGGTGTCAAATCAAAGTGCCCATGGATCTACCCAGAGTTTACTTAGCGGGGAGGAGATTACGGTACAGTAATAACAAATAATACGCACTATGTATACACATATGGCGAATCTTCGGCTCCGACGGGATACGATCATCGGTTTGCGGGGGATGAGTTCGCTATTTTGGTATATGATGATACTATCCTCGATTGTCTGTCGTATCTTTGTATTTTAACTCTGATATTGTGGAGATATCCATAATCACCCATTCCTGACAGCTTTGGCTCGGTTAGCCACTCCGAATCGCGATCGGTGCTTGTATTGTCCCGCTTACCGTATTATTCCTAATCCCTAAACCCGTAGTTAACTATCACCAACTCCTATTACTAACTACTACAGTACAACACTACTATTACTACCCACACAAGATAATAGATTGAGGGATTGCGCGTGATTTACCTGACAGATTCACAGACAATAACTTAATATTACCTGCTCCCAATATTTTATGCACTCCATGTCGTATCCTTGTCGAAAATTATGTACATGATAGCTGGAGCACTTGTATTGTCCAGGCAAAACTGTCGTAACCGACATGATTCCAAATACATGGCGTTGGTGATGGGTCACATGTTTCGTGAGGTCAGCAGCGACTCGACTCGATGTATGCCTATCTGTACATGTACCTGTGCTTGTACACGTACAAAGAGAATGACAGTTTGCCAGAGTAACCAGTCTAGAGCATTCCATATCGGTGTATCCCTTTGCTAACTAGTGCCATCTGCCGTTTCATTCTCGAGTCCGGCCAGCAGGAAATGATATATATTTCAAACTTCTCGGTACTATAACTGCTCCGTGCTACACTGATTGTATCCGAATATCTTACTATATCCATACCTTAAGCAATCAACCGGAGATACATCGTATCTGTCACTGGCTTGTTTGCTTTGTATACACGTACAAGTGCCCCTTTATTTCTGAGACAGGTGGATCTTCAGCTTCTGCAGAATTGCAATCGCAAATAATCAAACATTCGCTGTCTGTATGTACATATCTCCTGCTGTAGACGTATGTGCATACCTGTACATGCCCTCTACCCGTATACCTCCCCGTATACAAGCACACACCACCCACTATGCAGCTGCGGATATGCAGAATATGCAGAGGCAAGGAACCGCTTGGTGTAAACCGGACGCTTTGAGGGGTGTCGATAACTGACCGATTTGTATTACAAGTAGATGCACTAGCACATTGTTTTGCTTCTTCCGCTACGTTGCTGTACAGTATTTATCCCAGCTACAGCTGACGCGGTTCGGATCGCAATACAATAGATCGGATTGTGTTTGTTAATTGTCATCGAGTAATCAAAAGGAACCTCGATTGATTGTTTATTCCTGTCTGCAGTCCAAATGCAAATAAGCACTTGTAGGAATTGAGGAAAAAGAAAAGAAAAGGTGAACCTGAGCCTCCAACGCCTCTTCTATCCGGCAACCAAGTGAAACACATCCCAATTCATCCCAGAAAACGCAAAAGATCAAAGTATCAAAATAAAAAACGGCCTTTTCTTCACGACGTTCAATCAAGCTCGTGGTATCCACATGTTTAATCAATAAACTGGGTCTTGTCATCGTGCTGCCATCATTCGTAGGGGATATTGTTTCCAGCTTCATCATATTCGTCCCTGGCTTAGCTCCCGACAGGAAGGAACCACCCTATAACAGTTAAAAAAAGTAACAAAAAAACCAATAACTCAATAGTGATAAGTCTACTAAAACATGATATCTGAACGCAAAACCTCATTAAGAAAACAAGAAGGAATATTACTTTGTGGGACTCTGCAGTTGCTCCGATTCAGCAGTAGACTGAGGTGCCACAGCTGACGGTCCTAGGGGTGGAATCCGATTGAGCGATGGGGACGACATCAGCGACGGCCCCTGACCTTGACCCTGGTTCTGGGAAGGATTCCGTCCGCGCATCATCAGGGAATTCTCCCGTTGTCGCCGCTCCTCCTGCTCGGGCATCATGCACTTGACAGGGGCAGGGACTGGGGCATCCGGTGAGCTTCGTCCCATCAATTTCGGACTCGGTTCGAGCTTCTGGATTGGTGGGAGTATCGGCGCCCCTGGTATACTCCCCGATGTCATCGGTCGCGGCGAGTTTTTGGTCGGACTGATTCCTGACAGGGGCATGCCACCGTGTGAGCTCTGTGGAGGGGAGGATTGAGGGTTGCTAGGTGTTGCTGCGGAAAAGGATGGGGGGTTACTTTGGAATGAAGCGGATGCTCCACGGTTGGGACCGTTCGGGCGCGGTGCCTGATGCTGTCCATGAGGAGTCCAAGGTGCGCCATTCGAGGGAGCGCCGGCCGGAAACCCTGCCAGAGGGCCTACGTCGCGATTTCCCTGAGTTGGGGACATGGACGGTCGGTTCTGGATGGGTGATGAAAATGGGTTTTGCACGGAGTTGGACGTTGACGGTCGTCGAGAGAGAGACTGCTGAACTGGCGGCAACGGAGGCTGGCTAGATGGTTTCGTCGGCACCGGGTTCTTCGAGAACACACCAAAGCCATTCGCACTCTTCGACGGAGAAAACCGAGGAACTGGCTGCGACCGACGACGCTCCGGTGACATAGGCTGACCTGTGTTCATAAACAGTGATGGCGGCAGTGTGGACTGTTTTGAGGGAGAGCCATTTTGAATATTAGTAAAGCCAGGTCCTTGGGGCTTCTTAGAAGAAGGCAGATCTTGCTCCTGGAGCTGCTGCTGGTGTGGTGCTTCCGCAGATGGAGAATTCGAAGCAGAATCGACCCGGAACTTCAACAGTGGAAGCTTTGGTAGTTTTGCTTCCTCCTCCTGGCGCTTGCAGTCCCGACAGACAAGATGGAAGTCTTCTTGTTCCGCTTCATCTTGCCCGATACCAAGACATTTACTATGCTGCCACACGTTGCATCTCTCGCATGCGACACTATGCGAACCGTCATCTAGATTCTCTCCATGCACGCCGCAGCCTGAACAATCAAAGATCCATTGGTCGTCTTGCGAGATCTCCTCCAGGTCCTTCCGTCGTCTCTCCAGTTCCGCCTTGAGATTTCTTCCCGACATTCTGCTCTCACCACGTTCAAATTTCTCCTGCTCTGCAGTTATCCTTTCCAGTTCTTCTTCATGCTCAATGCGTTTTCGCTCCCGTTCCTTAATGCGTTGTTCCCGTTGGTTGACCCGCGACTCCCTATCTTGTTCCATTCTCCTTTGTTTGGCTTCTTCTTTGCGAGCCGCAGCTAGTTCCGTCTGCTGCTGCAGAGTCTCTTCCTCTGCTTCACGTTCTTGTCGCTCTTTCTCCGCTTTTCCAGCGAGACGGCTGGACCTCTTTGCACCGGCAAGCAGCTCCATGTTGAAAAGCTCCTTTTCGCGCTTGACAATCTCCCGTTGCTGGGCCTCTTCCTCCTTTTCAATGATGGGCATGACTTGCTCATTGAGACGGTCCCTTAGAACTTTCTCGTCGGGGTCTCTTGTCTTCTGGATATTATCTAGGAATGCCTGGTATTCCGCCA